GTGAGTGTAAAAATCCACCCCCTCATGAATATTAATGACGGGGGTGGGGGGTGCGTTATGTGGAGTGACATCACGCGCATTACCTGTTCTTACAGATTAACTCTAACAACATCAACAACCACCTGCTGCGCTTTAGCTGCCTGGTGTTCGGCTCATTATTGTGAGCATCACTCCTCTGCCTGAATTGATGTTGAAGGGTGACTGCCTCCAACTGCCCAGTAGTGTGCTTCATGAACCTCCTCCACAGAGGCCAATATTGACACTGCTGGTACTCGTTATCAGCAAGTCCAACCAGCACCACGTCCATCTGTACCACATCAGTAAATGTTTTCTCTAGCCTGTGCCATGCATATTTATCCCCCTCTATCCATCCAAACAGAAGCTGTTTGGGCATGCGGGCTACATGAGCCAGCCAACACAGTTTCGCTTGCTGGAGGATCTCACTGATGGCACTGTGTCCATATCTTTCAAGGATATGTGAGATCCTTACTCAATCTAGTATTGTTAAACCTAGGATGGATCCACATTTTACAAGAGTAGAGAAGGGATGGCATAAATGTGGCCGAGAAGATCCGAACCGTTGTATGGAGCAATAGTCAAGGTAGCTTCCACACAGATGTATCCAGCTGATGAAAATATAATTCCGCTCAATTGATTCGGAGTAAGACCTCCACTGCCAAACCGGAGCTGATCTTTAGCACACTGCCCAGTTATGGAAACTTCTCCAATCTCCACAACATCCCTATCACTCATGGGTAGTGGAAGGGGGAAAGTCGTTGATGACAAACTACCAAGTTAGGTGATTTGTTTTTTAGGGGGCTGATGGTAAGGCCCCATTTCTCAGTGGCATGCTCCACGTTCAGCAGTAGCACCTCCAACTTGTTTTCAAAGTGAGCAGCAATTACCGGATTATAAGCATACATAACATGGTTGACCAATAGGGAGCAATTAGATTCATGGAAGTGAGAAATCACACACACACGTTGGAAGGCAATCAGAACCGGCGCCAACAATTGCCGAAGCTTGACCGCATGTGGGCATCGACTAATCATATTCACTCCAAAAGACAAAGATTCCCCATGTAGCTTTAAGATACTCTTCGGGGCAAGTGCTATTAGTAAGAACCGATGAAGGCCGGCACGGTACATACAGGGGTGGGGACCCAGCACAATGTGTGACCGCCTTTGTCTCCCTGGTGGCAATGTTTACACATCGCAACAGGTACTCATTTGAGGATGAGTCGAACTAGCGGAGGCCCAGGAGCAGTTCAGATTGTCGTCACTGGTGTTGGCCGTGAGCGGGAATCAAACCTGGGAGGCCGGGTTCGTAGCACAACGCGCTAACCACACATTGTATCACCGCTCCCCACCAAAGTGCACCTGGCCTGGCACAGGCGCCGTGGTGACGTCACCGTCACTTATTGGCGAATGGCAGGTATTGCTATTGGTATTATTGGCTGAGCGTGCCACTCGGCATTAGCCTGGAAAGCCAGTCTTCTAGTCGCAATGCCAAATAATCCATCCGACTTATATCAGCTGCCAACTTTTTTAAGCATTGAGTGCGAGGTGTCCCAACTCCAGGTCCAGCTTACCGGGCAAATGTCCAGTTCCCTTGGTGGAGCAATCGTATGGTGTGAGAACTACTCTGGCACAGACTTCTGAAGAGAAGAGCTCTTGCCTCTTTTGAAGTCAGTTCAGCAGTGCCACGGTGGCAAGATGTTAATTACCTTGCCTGGTATACAGGACGTCGTTGTTTCGATCCCGACCCTGACGTCTGCATATTTTGAGTTTGTATGTTTTCTCCGTGATCGCGTGAATTTGTCTCTGGGTTCTCCGGGTTTTCTCTCCAAATTTAGAAATATGCGTTCAGAGTATTTAGTTGCTATATATTTCTGCACAATATGCCACTTAATTGAGCTATTAGCTCATTGGGCCTTACCTGGTAAAATAAAAATAAAATTGATTAGTGTGATAATTTAGTCACAATTGCGAATGCGACAACATGTTTAACTGCTTTACCCTTCTTCTTGGTTCTTTCGGTAAAGTCACGTAGAAGGGAAGTAATAAAATAATAAAAATAAAACATAATAAAATCAAATAATTCTCACGACGTTTCGGCTACAACGCAAGCAGCCGTCTTCAGGTGAAGAATGAGACACTGCCAAGCTAGGAGCTTATATATAAGCTGAGTTGGAGGTGGAAGAAGAAGAGAGCCTTAACAAAAGAATGTGCATATCAAGAGGAATTTAGCATATTCATGGAAAATGCGTAGGAGGTGGGCGGGGGGGGTTTCAAAGTCATATTATGCCCATGCATTATGCAGGATCAGCAGCACCAAAGGGAGGGGGGTAGCATTAACAAAGGGAGGGCATGTTAATAGTATGTAGAAGCAATGAAACATGTGAATGGGAGAACGGTGGCAGGAGACCCACAGCGGAGCAAATAATGCATTCCCTGTGGAGAACACAAGATACACAGTTAATGCCAGTGAGTGGACTGCGGTTTGAAAGTCACCATAAACGTGAACAACAACTGTAATTCCCATGATTGCCCAGGTGGATTTCAGTGGTTGCTGTTTGTCTGTTTTTTGTGCATTTTAAACGACTGAGGTTACTCAGAAATGTACACAGCTCAGATGATAGGAGCAGTTATATCAGAGTAAAATTCATCGAACAAGATTCCGATACAAGTGGAGTGAAACCCAATCATTGCTCAGAAACATAAACAATAGTCAGTTATGAAAATTAACCAATTAATGTAGTACGTTAGTTGCCATGCAAGTTACAACAGAGAGGTGCAGTGCCCTAAGATGAACTTGCCATCTTGAAACTAGAGGACGGACAGATTCTATGTTTAAGCGGTCAGAGAAAACAAGTTAATTTGGATTCCAGATTGCAGTATAGTACATGATGGGACATTGAAAAACATGGCCCGCTCAGCCCAAAGTGTTTCTTTGCAATAAATTACAGTTTCACTAATTTCAATGTAAATAAAATACTGCAGCGAGGAAATGTATTTTACCAGCAATTATAGCCCACGTTATTAGTAAATTAATTATTCTCGAGTGGACAGAATGTGAGATCCTTGAGGATGACACATTGGAAAGGATGGAGCTACCCAGCAGCAGACAGTAATATCTCATACCGTGTACAGAGTCATTCACTGCACGTCAATCATCAACATAAAAAATATATATGTTTAGCTCTGAGAACTGGGTAGGGCAAACATATTTGAGAAATAAACTACGAATCTCATTTTAATTGTCTGTAAGGTCTTTTATTCGAGTTTTCAGAGTCGTGTGTTTGCGTGCATATGCATGTACTGTATGTGTGTTGGGTGTAGCTATGTGGGGAACAGTAGTGTAGGTTAGCGTGCTGCGCTATGAACCCCGCGAACCCGGTTGCCTGAGTTCGATTCCCGCTTACGGCCAACACCAGTGATGAATATTTGAACCGGTCCTGAGCCTCCCCTAGATCGACTCAGCCTTAAATGAGTACCTGGTGCAGTGTGTAAACATCGCCATTGGGGAGACAAAGGCGGCCGGGCATGGTGTTGGCCACCCATCCCCTCGTGTGTCACAATACCGGCCTTTATAGGTGTTCGCTAACAGAACTTGATCCCAACAGTATTTACAGGTGATACGGGGGATCTTTGTCTTTGTTGGGTGTAGCTATGCAGTTGTTAGCAAAATGATTTGAACCCCAGTGACCTGTGTTAGATTTCTATGGATAGAATCACCAGAATGTGATTGTGGGCCTTTTATGGACGACTGCTTGCTTAACGAATCTTATACATTGGCATGAATCTATACATTGACATGAGGTCTTCTTTCTTCGTAAGGCTGCTCATGCAGATGCAGAGCAACATCTAACATTTCACATTCAGGTGGTCAAGTCAGACCAACCGTGCCAGGAGTATCACTGCGATGCCTTCGTTGTATTTGTGGATCGGGGCATTGCGTCTGTTCTGGATGACCACAGTCGCACGCTACTGAAGAGTTTGTTTTAATATCTATTTTTCATATGTTTTTTTTATTGAACACGAGCCCGTTACAAAGCACGAGTGATGGTGGGAGAGGTGGGGGTACAGATATTTCGTGGACAACAAGCCGGAGGCCAGGTGCCCACAGAGATTGGGAGAGGGAAGGAGGCTGGGCTCACTGCTCCAGTCACGCAGTAGGGGCAACGATGGGGAACGTGGTATTTTTAGGGGAGGGGAAGATGAGGGAACGGATGGGAGGGAGATAGAAAATGTACCCAACCAGAACCGCAAACTAAAACAATATAGACGCACCGAGTGAGCCGGTCATTGTTATAAATCCTGTGGGGCAACAGGTACATCATGCCTACCCATGGCATGATCCATTTGTGCACAAAGTATCCACATCTACTGATGCAGTTTAGTGTGGCCCATGAACTTTGCGGAAATTCAAACCCAGGGATATTCTGTGTTGGGCCTGTCACAAGGTGTTCGTGAGTTCTTCTGAACTCCATTCAGCTCTCCAAGCTTCATCGAGGGTTGAATACACATTGTTGAAGGTTAAGCGCAAGGGGTCCAAAAGGGACTTGCGTAACTACGAGATACAAGTATGTGAACATCACTACTGGGATGACTGAGCTGAATGCTGTCCACGTTAACCCCCTCATGTACTGTGATACTGCGAGGCTGGCTTAGTGTAGGGAATTATCGTTTGAAGGCACTAATGCTAGAGCACAAGGTACACTAATCCAAAATAATCCACTATTATTGTACACTATATTCCTATAATCCCATAAATAGGCATATATGAGTATAGGGCACAATGCGGCCTAAATGATGCGAGATGGATGTGACCTGCCAAAATAATACCCAGAACATCATTCTGGATAGTTCTGGATGAAACTAAGCACTGCTTATAGCTCTTGTTCCTACAGTTGAAGGACTAGTTTATAAATCTTTGCTGCATGTGTGTGTTGCGTGGTGGATGCGTATATCTCCCTTGAATGTCCCTGTGTCTCGCAGATAAAGAACGAGCGGAATATGCTGAAGGTGGTGTCGCGCATGCATCGCATCACCCTCATCTTCCACCTGCTCGTCGACCAGTTCTCCGTGATGGAAACCATGACCCCTCTCGACTTCTTTGATTTCAGGTAAAACAAAAGAACAAAAAACATTCAATACAATCTCAGTTTGAGATCTTGTTTAGCGCGCCTTTGTGCTAATACTTTCATTTAGCGTCATTCATGCTAATAGCATCCCACAATGCTGTACATTAATTATATATTAGAACCAACTCCCATTATACAGCCACGACCTTTTGAAACCCCTACTACTGCTGTAGTGAGTCATTGCAGAGCCACTTTTTAAGAGGCAAAAACTTTATTCTACACTTAGGCAACATTACACACGGGACTAATACACATATTTGACACTCTCGTTACACCCGGTACTACATACAGGAAAACTATAATTGGGTCAGAGCAGTCAACATGCTGTCTAACCCACAATGTCGAAGACGTAGACATAGCACTTGAGTTCCACTCCACCTTCAGACAGCCCCGATATTCGATTGGAGCTTCCCTTTTAATCCTCTTGGCACGGCCTGGCTCCATCTCCGGCCGCGCCTACCTCGGGAATATTCCCGAAGGTTCCAGGCCACCTTACACCTGTTGCCTCTCTTGCTCCACCCTTAACCACGCCCCCCTCAGGAACTATCCAAGACGTTTCTCAGCTACTCTTCCCGTGTCCCCTCGTTCACCTTTCGCCCACATTCCTCACCCCGGCCCATCACGTGCTTAATCCGGTGCCGGGGTGACTCATGCCCCCCCTACTGCCAGCCGCCCCCACCACACTCCCCCAGTGACCGACTCTGTGGCAATTACCTGCGGCGCTGGCAGAGGCTGCTATCCCCTACTCTGTCGGTAGGACTCATCTGGTTCCTTTCTGCTAGCACCCAGTACCATGCCCCTCGTGACCCACTGTATGGTACTGCATAGTGTGTTAGCCTCAGCGCCCATTTCTACAGCACTTGGCGCTACGCACCATAGTGATCCATTTAACATCACTACATCACCCCCCCCTTATAAAACTCAGCCATCCTGGCTCATTCCTATACCTTGCACAGCGAGACGAACCACCGGAACACAACACAAAACAAAATTGAAGCCCCTAGCTGTTGTATCCTAACCCTTCTTCCATAATTGAGATTAATAATATTTGATGATTTTTATATATTATCTTTTTACTTGTTTTTTTTAATGAGTGAAACACACCAAAGCGCACCAAACTGCAAAACACCAGGTGTTGTTAAGTAATGAACGAGAGGAGGGCTAGGATGACAGAATTGCAACCTTGCTTCAAGGCAAAGGCAGTGAAAGGAAGCAGAGGGCCTTTGTCTAAGTCATAACCACAGAAAGCCAGGAATCATCACTGATTGTGTGTTAGGGATTCCGAGCTAATTAGAACACGTGCACACAGAAAGGGAGGTAGAAGCACGCCTTGTTCTCCTGCAGCTGAGGAAACATAGATAAACCCAAGAAGGCCAAGAATTAAATTAAGTGGGTCAGCTCAAGGCTGTGTGCACAGGGGGGGGGAGGCAGAGACAGTGCGGGGGTCACCAGAAGTTCGCGTTCGCCTAGTTAAGACAAAAAGCTCAATTATTCTGTATTGCTATTAAAGTAACGTTAAAGTCGGAATTTAACAACAGGGTAGGCTAAAGTTTGATATTCACACCCACTCCAATTAAACCAGGTCACAAGTACGCCTACTGAACCATCACCATCATTAAGTCAATATGAAATGTTATTTCCATACTTTAATGCTTTCTATACAACTCGACCCGAAGCATATGCATGAAAAGACAAAAGTAAAACTTATGAAAAGCCAGGATAACGGGATGAATCACCACCAGGTCGAATATAAATACATAATAAAAAAACGATGTTAAACCCAGGGTCGGAGAGAAAGGGAGATCCCGGCCGTCTTTGTATCCCCGCAGCGCGGGATGGGAGTGTGTGTACGCTCGGGGAGACGCCTCCACTTGGGTCGGGCACCACGATGGGAAACGACAGACCTTGGGTTACATGCGGAATCATGGCTGTGAAATAGTAAGGGACAAATGTTAACTTAAAACTTTTGGCCATTTCTTTGTGCGCCGGGTCGGAGAGAGCGTTGCCCCTCCCTCCAGGTGGTGCGAACAAAGACGCCTATGAGACATTTGTGACGTCTGTGTTTTGGGTTCATGGGGAAGGCCAGACAGGAGATAATGTTGCGCCCAGACAGAGAGACGACCTCGAGGCAATTTGTAACATCTGATTGTTTGCTCGTGGGTTTTATGGAGGGAGTGGGACAACTGAATACCGTGAGTGATGCACACAAGGACATACGGACGTACGGACACACACGTGGACACACCTGCCTACGGACAGATCCTGACACAGCAAAAATCGGAAGAAGCCCCGCCTTGTGGGCGGGATCCAGGGGGAATTTTCGGCATAAAGTAAAGGATCCTGAGCATTGGAAATCAGTGCGACGGGAGGGTCCACTCAGAAGCTCGACCGGGAGGGTCGACTCAGGAACGAGTGTGACGAGAGGGTCCACTCAGGAGTGCGACGGGAGGGTCGACTCAGGAACGAGTGCGACCAGAGTGGGTCCACTCAGGAGTGCGACCAGCGGGTCCACTCAGGAGTGCGACCAGAGGGTCGACTCAGGAGCGAGGGCGACCAGCGGGTCGACCCAGGAGCGAGCTCGACCGGGAGGGTCGACTCAGGAGCGAGCTGCGACCAGCGGGTCGGCTCGACTCATCTTCAGCTCGTCAACCTCTGCCGAACCGGGGGTCTCTGCTGCCACCGGAGTGGTGAGCATCGCTGTTCGACGACAACCCAGAGCTGCACGCTGCGAGCGAGTTGTGGGCGCCACCTACCGACCGGGTTCCGAACTGCGACAGCGTATCAACAGCCATCCGAACCAGTTCGCCACGGTGACAGGGGATCGACTGATACGTATGACGCGCACTGCCCCCTCACCACACGACCACCAGGCGTCTGTTTGACCTAAAGAATCGACTCCGAACACTGACTATTCAAGACAACTCTTACCACTCAAAAACACTCGAACCCATAAGCCATCCGTGGCTGGAAAGCATCGCAACGAGACCGAGTGATGGCCCTCCGTCGTTTATAAGAGTATTCTTAATTTTTATCTTTAATATTTAGTGGGCTGTACTCTTAATCGCATAAATTCCCAACAGATCCATCAATACGAACTGATTCTTGGCACCTCCTTCCGCCGAGCCACGCTCACGTGGGGAGTGGTGGCCCACCGGATCCTTATCAGGTGATCTGGTCCCCAATTAGTAAACTTGGTATAAGATAACGAGCTTCGGAAAAGGAGCACCGTCGCAGGCCCTTACTCCGGGCCGTTCTGTTGTCAGATAACCTGCCGATGTATCTGTTGAGATTGGTGCCTTTAAGAATAATAACTGTTTTTGATTGTGTTTTTTTTATCGCCGTATAATCTTTCAAGTATCTTTCAGTCATAATCGCCGCACGTACTCGCATCCTCTACAGAATATTCAACTGTTCCGTGACCCAAGGTGTTAACAACGTGATAAGGGTTGCGTATGATCAATAAGGAGTGCGGTACTGCGTGAACAATATTGAGTATAATCATTCATTAACGTTAAGGTTTTCTTAGCATAATATTTGCATGTTTTAACGACTCTCTCTCTCACTAAGAACCATCGCGTTATGCGGGATCCATGTGCCGTTGTCAAAGTGAAATCAGACAATCGTTGATGATACTGTATTGATGCCGTATTGACGTTCCGGGATTGAGAGTTCGCATACTATATCATAGTTAAGGTTGAATTAGTAATAAATTGATCAATACAGAAGTGGTTGTGTGATTCTTTCCTGAAATCTATGCATAAGATCTGCTTCTGCGTTGAGATTTGAACTTGGTGACCTTAATAAACACACTAATACATACTCAGTAAATGTTAAAGCGATAACGGGGTGAACCGGGGTCTGGTTATCATAACGACTTGCGTTATCATAATTACACCCACTCGCATAATTAATACGATTACCTCTCGAATTGGCATAATTAAAATGTGCGTAATTACATAAATTAACATATTTCCGGATAATTACACATTTGGCCAAATTTCATTTAATTATTATTATTTCCACTGAATATTCATAACCCACATATACAACATAATAATTTCACCCACGCACGCATACAACATAACAAATTTTCATACCCAACATATACAACATAATGGGGGCTCGTCTTCCGGGATCTCTCGCAGACAGTTTATGCATGAATTCAGGAACGAATCACTGATGTGTTAATCAAAGTGTTGTGAACTAACGTTGCCTTGTGATTGTAAACGGGGGTATACAAACAAAACGCGCTCTGAAGGGAAATACCAGAGTAGCAGAGTATAACAAAGACAGCTGGGCTGAGATTATTTGCTCGAGTTGAACTGACGCATCCTGTGATACAATTGTTTATATGCACTCTGAAAAGAAATATTAAGGTAACTCTTGCCATACTTAAGATGCTAGGATTAAGAATAATATTTGAATGGGTTACGGGATACGGGGAGGTCGTATTTAAACGTACCGACCAATCTGTTACAAAGCAGTACAGTCAGAGAGACATATGGGAAGGGAGCTGTATCGATAACACGAACACACCTCGGGGGAAACTAATTGACTGGATAAAAAGTAACGAAGGCAAACACGATGCAAAAACTGCAGAGAAGGCAGGACAGGACTCATACCTTCTCACACAGGCGTACAGACAGGGATTGTGGAATGAGGGAAAATTTGGAAAGGAAACGGGAGAGAAATCGTCTCTAATAAACGACGAGAAATGTCCTCACACCCTCGAGAGGGAGGAGAAATCAAAGCTCGCGACACCAGCGAAACTCACAGACGTTGAGCCACAGAATAAATATGGAAGTAACATCAAATCACTCTCTTGGGTACGTGGACAGAGTCCAGGGATTGATCGCACAAAAGTTAAAGTAAAATCGCCAGGACATGGTACACTAAGGGCAGAGGCAAAAACTGAAGGGAAATGGCAACACGAGCGACACGGCCCTGGGCGCGCACACAGGAAATGCACACCACTTAAACAC